CCCGGAGGTCGGGACGCAGACCCTGACCTCGCGCTTAGTGTGGAGGCCCGGAGCTCCTCGGAAGTATAGCCCTGCACCGTGCCGTGCCCGCGAGTTTCCGGTCTCGGCGGTTCATAGCTGCCCCAGCCACTTCCTTAGGCGCTTGTCGAATGGGATTTTGAATTTATCCCGCGGCACGTGTTGTGTTTGTATGTCTGTGTGCTGTGCAGTTCAGAGGGAAAGGCTCCTAGGGCAATGTTTCTAAAAGCCACACCCCCCGCTGCACAGGTGGTATGTTTTTCACTGTTTGAATCCCTTCCAAAGTGGAGAGCTCTTAAATCTCCCAAACCAGTGCCGGGGATTTAGCTCAGCAGCATCGCACCTGCCTCGCAAGTGCGAGGTCCTGAGTTTGACCCCGGCACACACCCCCCCGCCAAAATCTCCCAAAGCAGTTAAAACTTAAAATTTAAGTCGGTTTTTAGAAAATGGTGGCCATCAGATACGAGGAAAAATTTTAATCTGAGGTATTCATTACTGGGCAAAAAAAAAAACAACTTTGTTTTTTTATGGAATATTGAAATTTAAAATTCATTTGGCTTTTTTTTTCTTCATTGAGTTTATTGGTACATTCTAGGTATACAGTACAGTTACATTCATTATTGGGATCTTGTACCTTTACATGACAGGCCTTGGTTCTCATTTTTTCCCCTTGTCCCTGCCCTCCCTTCACCCCCTCCTCCCCTCCCCATTTACAAACATTTTATTTCCATTTTTTTATTTTCTCCTATTTTTTTCTTTCCCCTATTACCCTTCCCCTACCCTTCCCACTTTCCCTACACCTTTAGCCCCTTCCCATTTCACAATGTCAGTTATCTTATTAGGATCTTTTGTACTATTATAGTTTATTCACACCAGAGAAACTATTCAGTATTTACACATGTGTGACTTATTTATTTCACTTAGGAGTATATCCTCAATATGTATCCATTTTCCTATGAATGACTCTAATTTCTCATTCTTTATGGCTGAGTAGTATTCCATTTTATGGACAAACCACATCTTTATCCAATCTCCAACTGATGGGCAAATGGGCTGTTTCCAAGTTTTAGCTGTTACAAACTTTGCCGCTATAAACATGGGTGTGCATATATCACTCTGGTACGATTCTTTTAATTCTTTAGGAAAGATACCCAGCAGAGGGATGGCTGGGTCAAATGGAACTTCTAGTCCCAGCTCTTTGAGGTATCTCCATATTGATTTCCATAGTGGTTGCACCAGTGTGCACTCCCACCAACAGTGGAGAAGGGTTCCTTTCTCCCCACAACCCCGTTAACATTTGTTATTGAGTGATTTCTTGATAGCAGCCATTCTTTGTGGGGTGAGGTGGAATCTCAGTGTTGTTGTTTTCATCTGCTTCTCTCGAATGACCAGTGATGTGGAACATTTTTTCATATATTTACTTGCTGCTTTTACTTCTTTGAGAAATGTCTGTTCATTTCAGATGCCTGTTTTCGAATCACGTCCTTATATTTGGGGGTCATTTGGCTTTTTCTGACCGAAATTATCATTTTTGAATTGCTAATTTACAGATATGCAGTGATTTACTCCCAACTTCCTGGTGATACACATAATTTTATACAACGGTTTGTAATTTTCAAAGTGCTTTATGCTTTGTCATTCAATCTTCCTAGGAACTGAATAAGTATTGTTCCTATTTTACAGTTGATGCCATTTCTGAATCACTTCAAGGTACAATGTGCTGCAACTCCAGTTAGTAGATCCACATTAGCTGCTTGGAAAATTGTCTTTCAGAAACAAAAGTCATTGCTAGTGAATCCTTAAAATTATGAGGAACTATTTCAAGGTTTCAATAAGTAAGATACCTTGAATCTCTTTAGAAGATTTTGGTTTTTTGAGGCTGCTTTTGGTGGTATTGTATCATTTATTGCTTCATTACCATCACTGGTCTAAAAGTAAAGTAGTTTACAGTGGTTCTTCCTGTTCATCACATTCCTTTCACATCCGCAGAAAAGTATTGATTTATTGTTACTGTTGCTGAATGTGTGTGTTGTCAGCTCCCTGGGAGAGGTTGACGGAATACACTGTAAATACTAAGAAATGCTGATTTTTTGTTGTTGTTGTTGTTGTTAACACTCATATAAAATGGATAACTATAATTATTTTTGTAGTTAGTTGATGTTTGAAAATTACATTCTGAATGCATCACGATTTTGAGCTTAGGTCCTAAGAAAGATTGTTGCCTTGAAACAGATGTTTCATGCAGTGCATTGAAACCTCTCCTATCACTTTTTTTTTCTCCTCTTACCACTTTCCATGACAGCTTCTGCACTTTGTCGAGTTGAACCTGTGGGAAGATGGTTTGAAGCTTTTGTTAAGAGAAGAAGCAGAAATGCTTCTGCCTCTTTCCAGGAGCTGGAGGATAAGAAAGAGTTATCAGAGGAATCGGAAGATGAAGAATTGCAGTTAGAAGAATTTCCCATGCTGAAAACACTTGACCCCAAAGACTGGAAGGTATGTAGTGTCTGAATCTTTTGCTCAGTGCAGGGATGTCGACATATAGCAGCAATCCAGGGTTTTCCATTAACAAGCCTTGTATGAAGGCAGTTCAAGGAAGTAAGAATGATGGAGTGCCACTTACCTAGCCTGTAGATGAAGATGAACTGAATTGTGGCTGGGTTTTGAGGAAGAGGTTTGTTTGTTTGGTAGAATTGACAGGCCTCAGTGACCTTGGCTGTGTGGCCCGAGAGAAGAGGAGGAATTCAGAAGTCTGGCTTGAGTGACCTGATAAAGTGTAATATCAGTGACCAGCCCTGGGACGCAGGATGAGGAACTTGCATGGAATGATGTGTCCCAGTGTGGCTGTGTCAGATTTGAAGTTCCGCTGGCACAGTTGTCTAGAAGATGGTTAGAAATTGCTCTTTGGCTCCATTAAGAGATTAGAGCCAGGATCATTTTGATGTTGTTGGCACATGGGTTATGTTGACACTGTGAGAACTTGAATGACACCAGCCATGAATAAGAATAATGAACAACAGGCATTATCTATGTATGCCGTGAACATAGAATGCCTGGGTTCAAATCTGATATGACTTCAGTGCACTGGGACCTTGGGAAAGTTACTGGGCATCTAAGCATTTATTTCCCTTGTTGGTACAGTGAGACTGTTAACAGCTTGCAGGATTACAGTGAGCTTGAATGAAATGGTGTGTGCAGCAGCATGTCAAGAGTGGGGGAGAATGCCAGGCAGGGGGTGACCAGGGACCCTCTCTTACTTGGGATGGGTGACTGTGGCGAAGGGTGCTCAGAGGAGAAGTCTGCAAGCAGTGTGGGCAGTGGACACAGCCTCCCTGAGTGAGGTGCCCTAGTGTCACAGTGTACCGGGAGAAGAAACCTCAAGGCTCACCCTGACATAATCAGGAAAGCACTAAAAGTGGCTAGGAGCTGCTCCAGGAGGTGGAAGCCAACAGGGGAGCGTGAACACTCCAGGGATGGAGGCTGCTATGTTGCCACTGGTGGTTGAAGTAAAGTGAAGGTGGACATTGATGTGAAAAAAGCAGCCTCATTGCCCATGAGGTAGGATGGACAGAGTAAAACAAGATTAAAGTGGGTTGAGAATGAAGGCAAGAGGCAAAAAGCAAATGGTGTGGGCGCCTTTCTCTGGAAGCTGAGCTGTGACAGCAGAGCTGTGGGTGCTGACTGGAAGGGCGGTCCCAGATGGGGAGACAACAGCATCTATACCTGAAGAAAATAACCCAGTTGAAATTGAGGAGAAGCTGGTAGATGCTAATCTCCGAGACAGCTATGGCTGGATTTCAGGATGTGGAGTAATTTTTCTCAGTAGGAAGGGCTGTCTTAGGAAGGGAGGCAAGGTATACAGGTACAGAAGGGCTGGGGGAAGAGTCTGGCTTTCTGGTAAGGATAATTTAAGTTTGTTTTTTAGGTATAATTGACATAAAATGCTACATGTGATGCCTCAAGTTTGATGTGTTTGAGATAGCTTTAGTTTTTAACTGAGTAGTAGTTTTTAGCTGTCCATCAGCAGGTGGAGAAGGAAAGGGGTGTGAGGGATGAAGCAGACCAGAGAGTGGAAGGTGGACAGCTTGGAGTGCACTGTGATTGCCAGGCACAGTGAAGGAACCCAACATGCAAAGCCTAACCCTGCATGAAAGGGAAACTGTCACCCTGTGGGGCTTTTTTCTCTTGTGTCATAGGCCCTCAACTCCTCTTCCTGTATACTTGGCCTCATTCTCCAGACAATGCACACAATCTGATCTAAGGATCAATGCTGCCTCAGCTAGGCTGTCGGCCAGAGCATCTGCTTTGTACCCAAGGACGCCTTATCCACAGTTTTTCAGAACTTCCAGCCAACCTGTCTTCTTTGTTCTGCATGGCTCCTCACTGTCCACTGACCCAGCTCCTGGACCTAATGTAATGGTCCTCATGGATCAGAAATGTGTCTGGATGTCCCTTGATTTAAGGATAGGTATGGGCTAGTAATAGGTTCTTTTGGACAAAGGGGTACTTTAGTTAGGTAAGCTTAGGAAATTCTGGGTATAGGTTCTGTTAATTGGATTTTGTTTTGTAATTGCAAGATTTCTCAGAGCCTGTTAGCTTATGTGCATACAAATCATTACGAAGGCTGTAGAGAGTTGGTGCTGGTGGCACACTCAGGGCCAAGCTGGACTACATAGGAAGAACTTGCCTCAAAAACAAGACAAGAAAAGGCTATTCACATTTCCTACACATTCATGACCACAGAGCCTTTTCTGTGTAGAAACTGTCCCTGGCTTTTAATGTCATTTTAAAAAACACTGTTGTAGGATATGGAACATAAGGGGCAGGGTATATTAGTCCAATTCCAAGTTGACTCCCTTTTGTGTCTTTATCAGAACCAAGATCATTACGCAGTTCTTGGACTAGGCCATGTAAGGTACAAAGCCACACAGAGACAGATCAAAGCAGCACGTAAGTACTTATTTGGAAATAATCAAATATTTGACATAGGAAGTGGTATCCTTTTTAAAAAGGCACACAGGGTCATAATATGTAGGTGTAATGCTACATTTAACTGCATGTCTTATATTGTCATAACAGTGTAAAACCAGTGTCCTTTCCTTCAGAAACGACTTTTTATACAGACTGTCTCATTAGGGATAAGAAATGTCTGCATGTGTATGTGCGTGTATATGTGCGTGTGTGAGAATGAAAGAGAGAAGATAAAGAACATTCTGTCAAGCCAGCACTCCGGGAGGCTGAGGCAGGGAGGATCACAAGTTTAAGCCCAGGCTGAGCAATTCAGCAGCAATTTAATGAGACTCTGTCGCAAAATAAAAATAAAAAGGGTTAAGGATGTAGCTTAGAGCAAAGGCTCTGGGCTCAGTCCCCAGTACCGTGAGCAAAAACAAAACAAATTCTCACAGTGGCAAGCTATTAAAAAAATAAAAATAGGTAGCCATATTCAGTGGAATCTCACTTTGTTAGTTTGTTTTTTTGGTATTATTTTGTGATTTTGCATCTTGCCTTTGCTGATATCATCCTTTCTGCTGCCCAAGAAAGAGTTATTATTTTGAATGACAGAGTTAAAAATTGGGGAAAGAAAATGTTGGGAACCAGATCTTCATACGCTTTTTTGAAGTCGTCCCTTCATGTTCCCAAGTGCCCTGGCCTTTGCATTCCTTCCCATGTTCCTTCCCATGGACATAATTCTGTATCGCATTCACGACAGAGCGTACCTCAGGTCTTGCTGCCAGCGGCTCTGATTTGAACTTGATCATCCCAGCAACTTGAACCACCAATGGCACACGGATGACTGTCCCCCTGGAGGTTTGAGCCACGGGAAGCATAAGATCTGATCCTGTTGTTGATGGCAGTAATGCAAAGAAAGGCATTGACTTAGTAGACCAGATGTTATCGTATTGAAGCTTTGTAAGGAGAACATTAAAATGGTATAAAAAATTGTAACCCCTGATTTATGGTACAGCCATTGTAAATTCCTGTTATATACACTGTATTTGTATTTGAGTGGTAATTATTTAGATTCAAGCAACTAACTAGATTTGGCTGATTTATACACTTGATTAATTTTGAGTAGAAAGACTGATAAAAGTAATTAGATCCATTTGTACCAAGTGGCTCAAGCCAGCAGGAATTTGTCACACATTCATTCACCTGATTAGTGAGGTTTCAAGGAGGAGGTGAAGGTGATGAGTTTTCTGTTTCATCCTGGAGAGCGTCTGCCCTCCACTGTGGAGAATGGGTGTTGAGGCCAGAGGAGGTGAGAGTGCAGCCATGCGGAAAGGACTCGGGACTCAGGGCCAGTTGGGAGGAGAAGGCGCACCCTCCATGAGCACGGTCCTAAAGAAATACCGCTGACGGCTGGGGTACGAGATAGGCTCAGCCTTCCCTACCAGTGCTGCTGTTCAGGAAAGTCACCAGAAATATGTTTTTTAACAAAGTGAAGGAAATGGTCAGATTATTTTAGACCTGTACCAGCTTTGTAAAAGGCCAGCATGGTTTTAGACAAAGCATACATTAATGCTTATGAACTGTCACACCATACACATAAATGCCAGAAAAACTTCATTGTTCAAGGAAAACTGTTTGCAGAGTCTTAGTATGAGAATAGCAAATACAGATGTTCCTTGTTTATTGGCTGCCTATTTAATGACTGTTTGGACTTAGAACACATTTTTTTTTTTCTTGTACAGTTCTATATGCCTTCTTTATAGAGCGTCAGAGTCTTTTGTGCAGTACATCTTGTTTATACAGCACTGTGATTTTTGCTGATTGCACTGTACAGTACAATGCTGTAGTTTTATGTCCTGTTACACATTACAGTACTGCATGCCAGAGTTGTGCAAATGATAGCAAAGTGATCAAGTTCGAGTCTCCTCTGAACATTTCTTTGTTCTGAATATCACAGTATACGTGCTATGTGCAATTCCACTTTTAATGATCTAGGAGCTGCATCTTGGTCATTGAATGCAAAATATTTTGCTAAATATATCATGACGCATATAAATTTGTGAGAAAATGTTAAGTTATGTACAAATGAAAATCACTGATATTTTAAAATGAAGGAATTTTTTTTCTCTAAAGAATAAAAATGATCCATAACTTGTAAAAGAAATACCCATTAGCTGGACATGGTGGCTCTCGCCTGTAATCCCAGCATTCGGCAGGCTGAGGCAGGAGGATCACAGTGAGTTCAAGGCCACTGGCCAGCCTGAACTACATAGTGAGACCCTTTCTCAAAAGACCAAAAAAAAAGAAGAAGCACCATTTACTCCTATTATGTCTGTTTTCTTCTGTTAAGTCTATTCTCTTTATTGACATAGCAAAAATTTATTTTATTTTTTATTTTTTTGGTACCAGGAATTGAACTGGAGACCTCATGCTTGGCCAGGCAGGTAGATGTGCCACTGAGCTACATCCCTGGCCCTAATTTTTTAATATTGTGTGGCACAGTTTTGCAGCAATTGTTCAGAGATTGTTATCTGAAAGAAGAACTTTTTACCACCCTTGTTGGATATTTTATCACTGTTTATTGAGAAGGCAATTGTCATTCTCTTCTTCTCACTAAAAAACAGTTGCTACTTACTGCTTTCTGAAAGTCTAGTCCAAGTGAAAGTGTAGTTAGTATTTGCAAGTCTATAATTATTTGCACAAACAATAAAAATATAAGTCTGAGCCTGCTCTCACTGAGCTTGTAAATGACGTGAGATCCCTTGAGTTCTCACATCCTGTTACAGACAAGGACGGTTTTATTTTTGTTAATATGTTTTGAATGACTATAAGGAAAATTAGGAAGTCATTTAAAGTTGAATAAAGTAAGTGTTCGTTTTTACTTTTTATTGCATTAAAAGAATTAATTAAAAGAATAAATTACTAGGTAAGTTGAATAATGGGTTAAAAGAAGTACTTATATTAAGGTGATATTTAAATTATTCTTGTAATTTTTTTTCTTGGTACTGGGGATCAAACTCCAGACCTTGCACTTGCGAGGTAGGTGTGGTGCCACTGAGCTAAATCCCTGGCTCTTATAATTTTGTTCTTGAAGTATACACTGGCATATGATACCTGTTGGTTTGATGTTTTGGAAGAAAGAGGTCTAATACTTTGAATTTTCAAGATTTAATAATTTTAGCTTAGATTACATGTGACCTTTTAAACAAAAGTTTTGAGCCGGGGATTTAGCTCAGTGGTTCCGCCGCCTGCTTCCCAAGCCCAAGGATCCAAATTTGATCCCCGGTACAACAAAAGGGGGAAAAAATAAAAGCTTTGATACCAAGCTTCTAAAAATTAAAAATCATGTTTAAAGACTTTTATAATAATAGCAACGTGAATGTACAATAAAAGCCCCTTTCTGGTGCACTCTCAAAACACGTGAGTCTTAGTGACTTAGCAAGACCCTGTCTCAAAATAAAAAAGGTCTTGGGACGTAGCTGAGTGAAAAGAACCATGGATTCAATTCCCAGTATGGCAAAAAACCAAAACCCCCGAGAAACTTTGAGGAAGGGACTAAAATATCAGTAAATTTATAACAGCTGTGCCTAAATTGTCCTTTGACTTTTTCATAATGACAATGACTTTGGCCCTCTTTACCTTTTTGTTGTTTTGTGTGTGTGTGTGTGTGTGTGTGTGTGTTTGGGAGGGATCAAGCTTGGGACCTTGCTCTTGGGAGGCAGGTGGCAGCACCTTTTAGCTAAATCCCCGGCCCTCTTTACCCTTTTTTAAAAAATTGAGTAACGTGTTCCCCTGACTCTAGGAGCAGTGTGTAAGTAGGATAGTGTAACCCCCCCGCTAATATACATAAAGTGACAGAAGATGCTTAGGCAGACAAATCAGTATAGGAAAAATAGTGCACCCTAGAGGAGACTACAGGTTGAGCCTCCTCTCAGTTGGGATGTGCCTCTCTCAGGCTTTGTCTTTAGGTTCAAATGGCAACTAACTTGCTTTCAAATTAGATATGAAGACACTAGTAGGAAGAGATAAGCATAAGTAGAAGAAATAAGCAGAAATTGTATGAAAACTAAACATGAGAGCAGACTTTAAAATCGTACAGGCTGATGTACAGTTAGAAAACACAGGAGAGGGCTGGGGAGTTACCTTAGTGGTTCGGCCGCTTGTCTTGCAAGTGCAAGGA